AGTGGAGGCTGGTGTTAGAATTCAGGCTGTGGGCATGCCAGTACACAGCTGGAGGGGTCAGTGACAGGGATCAAATCAGATTTGGGCGGACAAGCAGCCTAGATCTGATCTTGCCGTGAGTGCACATAGGTAGGTGGAAGCCAGCGATGGGAGTCAGGGCAGTGGAGTTCAGGTACTTAGCGCTGAGTGCACATGCATTGTAGGAGGCAGCCCTGGGAGTCTGGGCTGGTGTCGGCTGTCTGTGTTGGTCCTGAGCTTTAGCAGGGTCAGAAATGGGGTGAGGGAGCCAGGAAGCACTCAGGCGAGAGTCTGCGCACATGAATACCTACAGGACCAAAGAAACAAAACAGTGAAATCTGTAGTGGGTTTGTGGTGGCTGAGCTGGACCTTGTTTTGTTCAGTGGCAAACATTCCTGGAGTTCTCATCAGAGGAGGTCATGGGGAACTTTTCTGCAGTCACTTCTGCTCTGTGGCTGATACCAGCAGCCCCTGCCACTAGTATCTGCTCCTAGAGTCTTCCTTGTTCCTGCTTGGCCATCTCAATAGCTCTCAGACTAGCTGATCTCTGGTTAGGATGAAACTGAAGGAGGTCGCTCACCCAACTCTTTGTGTGTGTGATTTTTTAATTTTTTATATATTTTTTATATTTTATTGATTTTTTACAGAGAAGAGGAGAGGGATAAAGAGCTAGAAACATCGATAAGAGAGAAACATCGACCAGCTGCCTCTTGCACATCCCCTACCGGGGATGTGCCCGCAACCAATGTACATGCCCTTGCCCAGAATTGAACCTGACCAACGCTCTACCACTGAGCTAAACTGGTTTCGGCTCACCCAACTCTGATTCCCAGGGAGGGGAACACTTTCTAGCTGGGGAGTTCCCTTTTGGTGCTGAGTAATGGGCCAGCCTGCAGGATGTGATGATGCAACCAAATGAAGCTGTTATTCCCATTTCTTTCAGTCATTTCACTCCCTCCCCTCTCCCAACACAGGCTGCTTTACTGAAGTTTCTTAAGTAGACTCAGATCTCTCCCAGTACTGTTTTGTTAGTGGATAGTTATCTAATTGGGTTTCTTTTGCCACCATTATGGTGACCAGGCCTCTCCTTTCTTACTATCTATGAATTGAGGGCCTTTCCCAGCTTTTAGTAACTGCTGCATTCCTTAGTTTATGGTTCCCTTTATCCTTCTTCAAGGCCAGAAAAGGGTGGGTTGAATTCTTTGAATCTTTTTCACATTCCATCATTCCTGACATCTTCTTTCACCTTCAAAGACTAAAGTGCTTCTTCAGTAATAGGTATTAGGAGGATATTCTTCTGGTTGAACCAAATTTACAGTAGGTCATTCAAAAGATGATTATTCACACGACATTTGCTAGTAAAATTTCTTGTGGGATAAAGGGAAATTAAGTAAAGACTTTAAGGGGGGATAGAATGGATATCTTTGGAAAAATAATTTTAAGAAATGACATAACCACATGTTTAAGGGTTCAGGCTCTGTGTCAGACCGCATGAATCCAAATTCTAGTCCCAATGCTACAATAAATAACTTGTTCTTTCTGCTGCTCAGTTTCCTCATCTATAAAATGGGGATAATAGCTTTCATAGAATAGTTGAATAGTTAAAGGAAATAATACATGTGCCTTTAACATTGCAAATACTCTCCAAACAATTTTCAAATTTCTTATTATTTAAATAAATAATGTAAATCATAAAAAATTTACTTTTATTATTTCTAAACTAGAGGCCTGGTGCACAAATTTGTGCATGGGTGAGGTTCCTCTGCCTGGCCCATGATCCTGGCTGACTGGGGCCAGCCGGCCAGGGGGCGGGGCCATGGGAGGTTGGCTGTGGAAGTGCACTGACCACCAGGCAGCAGCTCCTGTATTGAGAATCTGTCCCTGGTGGTTAGTGCATGTCATAACAACTGGTCAACTGGTTGTTCGGTTGACCAGTGGTAACTGTTGCTTAGGCTTTTGTATATATAGATAGGTGAACAGCTAGCACATATTTTTCATTTCCTGGCTCCAATCATAAGTGTGTTTGTGTAAACAAATTGCACTTTGCATAGAGTGGGTTTTATTGACCCCCATTGTGTATTTGTTTTATTTTCTACATATTTTTTTAAAAGTTCCATTTGTCAGGCATTCTGCTAGGTGATGGAATACCAACAATGAAAAAGAAACTACCCTTTATACTTACACAGGTAACTCCAATACTCATACTGTAAGTACAAGGACATAAAAATTCATAGTTACTACATGATCCTGAGTTCAACCTGCACTTTTTACTCTGCTTTTTCAACTATCACAAATTCTATTGCAATAATAGTGATATCGTTTCTTTTTAAAAAATATTTATTTATTTATTTATTTATTTATTTATTTATTTATTAGGCAACTATCATTTTCTTCACTTATTTGCCATATTCTGCCCTCTATGTGCTCCTACTCCCCTCCAGCCCCTCGGAGAACATCTCTTCTAGTAAGCATACTGTGAAAAGGTCTTCTTTAGTTCTAAACCTTTTCTTTTCTACATAAGTTCTTCTGAGAATATACCCAGCTCTCAAGCAGTGAGTTTGCTGCTTCATGTCTGTTTACATGTGTGTTGGTCTAAATTATTATTTTATCATGAAAAATTTTATACACTTGAGGAAAGCATAGGGTATCTACACTAGTAAAAGAGAAGGATGCAAATTGACAGTACTTTCAGGACACACACCAGCCAATCAGGAATGAGTATGCAAATTAATGCATCAAAGATGAAAGGTTAATTTGCATACACAGGTGCTGATTGGGTGGGATGCTTGTGTTGTTGCCATGGAAATGTGGGAAGGCTGAAAGGCACCTCCAGACTGGGCGTAGGTAGTGCGGGCAGCCAGGGGAAGGAAGGCCCATTCTTGCACGAATCTTCATGCATCAGGCCTCTAGTATATGATAACATTTTAGGTAAACCACAGACAACAAGATATGCTCACGAAATGCCATGTCATTGCTGAGAGGAGATAAGGTGCTCCAGGAAAGGAAGAGGCTGTGGTTGTCCTTCCACAGCTGCTTTTTTTTGATACCAAAAAACTATTTAGACATTTGCAAGTTAAATCACCAGCCATCATTACCTAAAAGATAAATCATAGGTACTCACAACTGTAAACCTACTTGTATTAGAGTTGTAGACAATAATATGAACTCATGGAGCCAACTAAAAACATTTCCAATGGCCAAAGTTGGAACAATGTGAGAAATTAAATGAGTAAAATCATATTGAATTATAACTTAAAAGATAAAACAAATATGAATGAGTTTTTAGTGAAAAAAAAAGTTTTAAATAAATAAATGGGAGATTAGACAAATGTCACCTGAAGAATTCTAAATAGTTCTGTAGATACTTTGTCCTCAAAGAAGTGGAACATAACTCTTGACTTGAGTGTGAGCTACAAATCTTGACTTCCTTCTAAAGAGTGCAGTATGGAAATAAGGATAAGAGTAACTTTACAGTAAATAAACCTGAAAAATGCTACCAAGTGATTGAAGTTAACATCAGATCATCCGTGATAAGCCATGATGATAAAGTCTGTACCCTTCATAAGATGGGATAAGAATGGCCATTTATCTCTGTCTTCTTCCATTGAAAAGCTATAACCTAATGATAATCATGAGAAAACCATTAAACTACTACAATTTGGGAACAGTCCACAAAATATCTGACCAACATTCCTCAAATATTTAACAAATAATCAAACACAACGAGCGAAAAACTGTCACAGCCAAGAGTTTCCTAAGGAGACCTGAGAACTAAATGGTTTGTGATATCCTAAATGGGAACTTTGAATAGAAAAAGGCATTAGGTAAAAACTAAGTAAAAACTATTAGGTAAAGAGTAAATACAAAGGAAAAAAAAACTTTAGTTAATAATAATGTATCAAAGTCAATTTTTGACAAATGTACTAAACACTAGGGAAGTTGTGTGTGGCTATATGGAAACTCTGATGTTTAGATTATAAATAACTTCACCGCTTATTTATAAATCTAAAATTATCCCAAAGTAAAAGTTATTGAAAGAAAGAATTTTCTGCTTTTTAAAAAAAAAATATATATATTTTATTGATTTTGTACAGAGAGGAAGGGAGAGAGATAGTTAAAAACATCTATGAGAGTCATCGATCAGCTGCCTCTTGCACACCCTCTACTGGGGATATGCCCACAAGCAAGGTACATGCCTTTGACCAGAATCGAACCCGGGACCTTTCAGTCCCCAAGCCGACGCTCTATCCATTGAGCCAAACCGGTTTCGGCGGTTTCTGCTTTTTTGGGTCTGGACTTGGTCCTGTATTTTTTGGAACAATGGCATTCAGTGTAATGAAGCTGTTACAAGAAGATGCTAAGATGCAAAGGAAAAATCCCAAAACATATGGGAGAGTATATGCTGGAAAATTACCTGGCTAAACTTAACATTCTTGCCAGCATCCTGGGGGTGGATGCTATGGATGTCCCTGGCTGTCAGATTCATTTAGAATGCGGAGTCACTCTCTGCCTGTTGAAAGAGGCCATCTTACTGTGACATTTGTAAGCTGTAATGACTTCTGTCTGGTGTTACAAGATTTACTTGCCTATTGTATGGAAAACTGGTGATCAGGAAAAGCTCTTCATTGTATGGACATGGAAAGAACACATTCAGATCAAGGTTATCTGGAGTATTTTTTTTAGTCATGTCACATTAACTAATAGATTTCATCCTAGCTTTGCTTCTAAGAATGCATGTCAAACTAAGTATTTATAATGAATCTCCCCCCCCCCCCCCCCCCTCAGTTAAGGAGCCTTGCAATCAAATGATTAGATGAATATCTTATCTTTGGTCAAGTGTTTAAATGTAAAATGAGTAATCAAAGCTCTGTGAAAGTTAAAAAAAATAAAATAAAAAAGAAAGGTATTTTCCACACCCTTTAACCACATCCTTTGTAATTTTACATGTAGGCTTAGGGTTTGTTCAATGCCACAGTTCTTACACAGGAACTCTGCTTTGGAATAGGTGATGTCTCTCTTTCCATCAAATTCAAAGATGGATTATTCTATTTATAGGATGTTTGGAAAGGAGCAAAACACAGAACGATCAACGATTCAGAACCCAAGGAAACATCCTTATCACTGCCAACAAAAGTGGACATGCAAAGGTAGGAATCTATAACTCTCCTTTAGACCTCAGATTATAGAGCTAGGGTCTTTAAATCCTAGGTTTTTTGTTTGTTTGTTTGTTTTTAATATATTTTATTGATTTTACAGAAAGGAAGGGAGAGAGATAGAGAGCCAGAAACGTCGATGAGAGAGAAACATCGACCAGCTGCCTCTTGCACACCCCCCACCGGGGATGTGCCCGCAGCCAAGGTACATGCCCTTGACCGGAATCGAACCGGGGACCTTTCAGTCCACAGACCGATGCTCTACCACTGAGCCAAACCGGTTTCGGCTAATCCTAGGTTTTTAATGAGAACTTTTAAGAATTTGAACTAGAGTCTATTCAGAAAATTTGTTATCTTATTTTGAAATAATATGTTTACATAGATGTATCTGCCCTAAAGTACGTGGATAATGCTTATATCTAACACAGTTCCTGGCATATAGTTATGTTTATAAATACTATTAAATGGAATGTAATAGATCAGATTTAACTTGACCTGTGTTGAAGATTGTGAAGGTGTTTAATGTTTATTTTATTGAAGCAAAATATATAATTATAAAGATTATCATCCTATTTTTGTTTTATGAATTGATATAAATATACAACTTTATTTCAAACAACATTTGGAAAGATGGCTACAATATTCAATTTTTCTTATGTTTCCCTATAAGACATTCATTTTTACTATTATTCAATTATTTTGGCACTACTTACATTTCACCTTTCTGTGCCTTAACCCCATGAATATTATTTGTGTAATCCAATCAAGATACAAATGAAGATAAATGAAAAATTTTAGTAGAAATGGTTTGACTAACCAATTGATCAGCTAATATCCACCCATTTGATTATTGTACCAGTGGTACAGAAGTGTTAACATAAGAAGGATATTTTTTAAATAAAGTATATTGACCTTTTATTTCAAAATCAATAAATCCTATTCATTAAAGATAATTAAATATGTGTTCATGTCAAGGAAACTTAAATAAAGATTGTAGATTTCTTCCCCAACCTTCAGACAATGTGTACTGTCAGAATTTTCATTTCTAGGAAACATTTTCAAGTTCATTTTAAATGTCAGAATATTTCAGAAAAAAAAAATTATTCATTACAGATTATCCTGAATGTCCAAAGTGGCATCAGACTGCTCTGAGACTGATCAGCATTGCACTGCTTATTCTCATTGCTACAGTGATAGGACTAATTATTTGGGGTAAGTAAATTGAAAGCTATATATTCAACTACAGAGATCAACACGTTTTCTTTGGTATTTACCTTTATTTCTCTAACTTTTTCAGACTAATTTTTCACATTTGTGTGGTGATTTTTTCAACATTATTTTAGTTATGTTGGTAATAAATGTCACAGTTGATTATTTTATTAATAATTATTAGTTTTTTCCTTTATATAGGAGGCCATAAAACTAATTTATTAAATTTATTATACTCCTAACTTTACTTAATTGGTAAATATTGTGGGCTTGACAGACTAAATCTATGAACTGAAGTTTTTTTTTTTCCAAAAAAATAAATTTTTATTTATTTTTAGAGCAAGAAGAAGGGCAAGAAATAGAGAGATAGAAACATTGATCAGAGAAAAACATCACTGATCAGCTGCAGTCTGCATACCCTAATGGGGAATTAAGACAAAAACTCAGGCATGTGCCTTGACTGGGAATTGAACCAGTGATATCCTGGTTCCTGGGTCAATATTCAACCACTAATCTACACCAGCTAGGCTGAGAATTTTTATATTTTGGTAAAATTACTTAGTTCTATGAAAGATGATTTTGGCCCCTTAATTTTTTTTTTAACCTTTTGGCTATAAGCAAGTGTAAAAAATTTTTTTGACTCTACAAGTGACTTAATTTACAAGTGGCTTGAAAATTTAAGACCAAGTGAAATCTAATATCTGTGCCAACAAGGGTCAGGCTGGGAGCACTCAGTGCAGGTGATCAAGGAGGCTGTATCACAAGGTCCCACAGGAAACCTACCACATAAAGTCATCCAACCAAGACTGGAAGTCATTGCATCTGTAGCTAACACATAGAAACAAACACAGAGAAGCAGGTGAAATAGGAAGACAAAGAAACATGGCACACAGGAAAGGGCAGGAGAAATCTCCAGAAAAGGAGCTTAGTGAAATGGAAGCAACAAATAATCAGAAATAGAGTTCAAAAGAATGATTAAAAGGATGCTTAACAAACTTAGTGACAAATAAAAGGAACTTTTAGAACTACATGAAAAACAGCATAGGAACTATAAAAAGAACTGATCAGAAATGAAAACTACAATATCTGAAATAAGAAATACATTAGAAGGAATAAACAGTAGGTTGGGTTAATCTGTTAACTGGGGAGTTCCCTTTTTAATTACGCAACGTACAACGGGCACACACTCTTTCACTAGGATGTGTCAGTACATCACGCCCAGCAGACGTAATTTTATATTATTATTTGTACTTAATTAAAATAAATGAAATATATATTTTTTCGTTTATTTATATATAAAGCACAAAGGAAAATACAAAATTACAAACAAATAGAAAAGAATACTAACAAAAATTGGAAACATCGAATTAAAAAATTATAAATTTTACAAACAATTATAAAGATTACAAAAAATATATACGTCCCTCTCAGGGCGCAACATATATTTCAAGGATGTATTCATATGTCCTACCCATTCCCGGTAGTGTTTATGTTTGATGTATTTATAGTTCTCGCTCGGTTAACAGGTTAAGCAAAGAATTGAATCAGCAATTTGGAAGACAAGGTAGAAATAAACACCCAATCAAAGCAGAAGAAAGAAAGGAAGGAAGGAAGGAAGGAAGGAAGGAAGGAAGGAAGGAAGGAAGGAAGGAAGGAAGGAAGGGAGGAAGGAAGGAAGGAAGAAAAAAAATTACAATAGCTTAAGGAACATTTGTGACAACATGAGCTAGATGAACATCTGTATCATAGAGAGGTACCAGAAGAAGATGAGAGTGAGCAAAGGTTTGTGAACCTATTTGAAGAAATAATGACTGAAAACTTCCCTAACCTGAAGAAGGAAAAGGACACACAAGTTCAGGAAGTGCAATTTCAAAAAAGATGAATCCAAAGAGGCCCACATCAAAACATATCATAATTAAAATGGCAAAGGCTAAAGATAAAGAGAGGATCTTAAAAGCAGCAGAAGAATGGCAGTTAGTTACGTATAGTATAAGAGAGCTGACATAAGACTGCCAGCTAATTACTCAGCAGAAACAATTCAGGCCAGAAGGTATTGACATAAAATATTCAAAATCTGAAAACTGGGGATCTATAACCAAGACTACTTTACCCATCAAGACTATCATTTAAAATTGAAGGAGAAACAAAGACTCACAAGAGAAACTTAAGGAGTTTGATGCTATTGAACAAGCATTAGAAGAAATATTAAAGGGTCTGATTAAATAAGAGGAGGAGAAGGAGGAGGAGGAGGAGGAGGAGGAGGAGAAGAAGGAGAAGGAGGAAGAAATAAATCTATACCTTTCAATAATCACTTTAAATGTAAACAGCTCAAGTGTCCCAATCATAGTGCTTAGGTTAGTGGGATGAATAAGAAATAAGACCTACACATGCTATCTACAGAAACACCTCAGAATGAAGGATACACACATACTAAAAGTAAAGGGATGGAAAAGATATCTCATGCAAATGTAAATGAAAATCTTGATAGACATAAAGAGGACGATTGACAGTAATACAGTCATAATAGGAGACTTGCATATCCCAATGACATCAATGGATAGATCTTCTAGACAGGAAAAAAAAAATAACAACAAAAGAAAAAGGAAATAGCATCTTTAAATGTCATGCTATATCAAATGTATTTAATTGATATCTTCAGAGTATTTTATGCCAAACCAGCAGAATGTATGTTCTTTTCAAGTACACATGAAACATTTTATAGTATAGACCACCTCCTTGTACTACCTCCTTATACCATATATAATAAATTCAAAATGGATTAAAGACTTAAATGTTAGACTTGAAAACATAAAAAATCCTAGAAGGAAGCATAGGCAGTAAAATCTCAGACATTTCTCATAGCAATATTTTTTTTCCCAATCTACCTCCTTGGGCAAGGGAAAAGAAATAAAAAATAAACAAATTGGACTACAGCAAACTAAAATGTTTTTGCACAGCAAAAGAAATCATCAACAAAATGAAAAATTGACCTACTGAATAGGAAAACATATTCACCAATGATACATCTCAATAGGGGTTAATATCCAAAATTTACAAAGAACTTATACAATTCAATACCCAAACAAAACTAATAATCTACTTAAAAATGGGCAAAGCTGCCTGCCTGCTCTCTTTTTATTAGTCTGTCTCTATTTTGCTTGGTAGTTCAGTTTGCTCATTAAATTCTGAATATTAGTAAAACCATATGGTACTTGTCTTTTCATAACTGGTTTATTTAATGTATCACAATAATGTTCTCCAGGAACATTATCAAGCTCTAGTGAGGGTAGAGGTGTGGGGGCATAGGAAGATTGAGCAAAAAAGAAAAAAATGAAAGAGAAATCATGGACATGGACGACAGTGGGGTGATTGTGCAGGGAGTCTGGGGAGATGGAGGAGGTGTGAAAGTGGGGAAGGGCACAGAGGGGTAAACTGTAATAAAAAATTTGTAAAAAGTTAAAAAATTTAAAAAGTTAAAAGCAAAGAGCCTAAATAAACATGTTTCTCAAGAGGAGATATGACATTTGAAAAGATGTTCAACATCATTAATCATCAGAGAAATGCAAATTAAAACCAAATGAAACATCATCTCATACCTTTCAAAATGACTATCACCAATAAATAAACAAACAAGTGTGGATGAGGATGTTGAGAAAAGGAAACCCTCATGCACTGCTGGTGGGAGTGGAGATTGGTACAACCTCTGTGGAAAGCAGAATGGAGTTACCTAAAAAAGTTAAAAATGGAACTGCCTTATGACCCAGTGATTCCACTTCTGGGAATATATCTGAAGAAACCTGAAAAACTTATTTGAAAGAATAAATGCATTTTTATGTTCATTGCAGCATGCTATCTAATAAAAGGGAAATATGCAAATTAACCATTACTCCATCACAAAGATGGCAGCATCCATAGCCATACGATGGCGGCACTAGTTCGGGGGCGGAGGGGGGGCGGTCAGCTACTAAGAGTGGGCAGCATGAGCAGCCTGGTGGAATGCTTGCTTCGTCACTGCGGCAATGAGGCAAGCATTCTTCAACCGGCTGCAGATGAGTTCCTGTTAGCACTCGCTCAATCAGCTGAGTGAGTGCTGACAGGAGCAAGTCATCCCTGTGACTTACTCATTTTAATTGGAGGGAAAGAGGTGTGCAAGTTAGCAAGTGCTGGAGGCCCAAGGAGACGTACAGAATTCCACTTGGGAAAATCCAGAAGACACAACTCATGCAGGCACAGCCACTCTGGGCACTTCACAAATGAATGAGGTATTTTCTTCTCATTCCTGCTACACCGAGCATGCAAATGCCAGAACCAAGACTATATAATAGATAAAACCGAGGGGCCTCTGGGCCTCAGAGAGCCTGTGGGCAGTGGGCACTGAGCAGCCAGGTCCCACAGAGAGCTACTGGCACACGGATTTGTGCACGGGGCTACTAGTTATTTATAATAGATAAGGGAAGCAACCCAAGTGCCCATCAGTAGATAAGTGGATTAAAATGTGGTGGTACATTTACATAGCGGACTGCTACTCAGTTGTAAAAAAGAAATGTTACCATTTGGGACAGCATGGATGGACCTGGATAATATTATGTTAAGTGAAATAAGCCAGTCAGGGAAGGACAAATACCATGTGAATTCAATTATCTGTGGAATCTAATGAGCAAAATAAACTAACAACATATATAAACACTCATAAATACAGGGAACAAACTGACAGCTGTCAGAAGGGAAGAAGTGGGGAGGCTAGTGATAAAGGTGAATGCATTAAACAAAAAATAAAAGCAAACAAAACAAAACAAACAAACAAACAAAACCCTGATAGGCAGATAACAGTATAGTAATTATCAGAGGGGAAAAGGGTGTGAGGAGGTAGGAGGGGGTAAAGGGGAGGAAAATGGCGATGGAAGGAAACTTGACTTGGATGGTAAACACACAATACAATCTATCTATGTATATAAAAGCCTAAGCGACTGTTATGATGGAACAACCAGAACAACTGGAACGACCGATCGCTATGATGAGCTCTGACCACCAGGGGGGCAGATGCTCAACACAGGAGCTGCCCCCAGCCTGCAGGCCCTGATTGTCAATGGGGCTTGACAGCCAACCTCCTGGTTCTTCCCCCCAGCTGGTAGGCCCCGATTGCCTGATCAAGGCCATGCCCTGGGCTGTGACGGGTAACTGGGGGTGGGTGGCAGTGGACATGGGCAGCAAGGGAAGGATGAGGGGAGAGGCAGGGAGACAGGGAACCTGGAGGCCAGACCTAGGGACCCCACCTGTGCAGACATTTCATGTATCGGGACTCTACTATACAGATAATGTGTTATAGAATTGTACCCCCTGAAACTTACATAATTTTATTAACCAATGTCACCTAATAAATTCAATTAAAAAAAGATATTTTCTTAAGATGAGTTCTACTGAATAAGAGCTATGGATAATTATATCTGTTGATTATGATTTTATTCATGTTAGAGGTTGGGGTACACATTTTATATACATTTTCTTTTTTTAAAAATATATTTTATTGATTTTTTTACAGAGAGGAAGGGAGAGGGATAGAGAGCTAGAAACATTGATGAGAGAGAAACATCAACCAGGTGCTTCCTGCACATCCCCTACTGGGGATGTGCCCGCAACCAATGTACATGCCCTTGACCAGAATCGAACCTGGGACCTTTCAGCCCTCAGACCAACGCTCTATCCACTGAGCCAAACCGGTTTCAGCTTTATATATATTTTCTTTTAGTAGGCATTCCCCCTTTTATATATGAAAGTACTAAGAAACAGAGAGGCTTCATAATTAGTTCAAGATAACAAAGAATTCTAACCTATCAGAGTAAACAGATGCAAATTTAAATATATTTTAATTTTATTTAGAACATTTGTTTTTGTTTTGCTTCTACTTACTTTTTTACAAGTGGAAATCTATCTCTAAATGATCAATCCTTTGTTAAATTAGACTCTAATTATTAGAGGGTTGAAATACTATAAACAAACTTTCTTTCAACCAGAAGTTTATGCAATCACTTGTAGTTTCATTTTAGTGGGTAATTAAAAGCCATAGTCTTATAATTATAGAAATCTAATTAGTGTCATTTTTTTTTTTCTTATTTCTCAGTATGCCACCCAAACTTACGTTCCTTCAATGATAGCCACAATACGGAAATGTTTGTTAGTGAAAATGGAACCAGGGAATGCAATTGTATGAATACTCTTCCCAGAAAACAAGCAGGTAATGCAAATTTCACAAGTAAGTGATTTTATTTCATTATATTGTAGGGGAGAAAAAACTTTCCCTCTACCCTCTAAAGTTTAAACTCCGGGGGACTGTGAATTAAACTGACAAAGGAACAATTAACAGGAGAAAAATGATTGTTTATGTGCATACTGGAACTAACAAAAGAAGTAGCTAGCTCACAATGCTTGAAGTTAAAGGCTTATATACCTAATTTAGGAGAGGAAAAGGAGGGGAAGAAATGACTTGTGTGGGCAAAGCTTCTTTCCTTAGGAAAGGCAAGTGTTTTTTTTTTGTTTGTGTTGGTTTTTTTTTGTTTTTTTTTTTTTTTAGAAGTACAAACTGCAGAAAGTTTGTGACAGTGTCTGTTAGTGATGGTGAAACTTATAAACTCATTGCTGAGTATAGATTTATTTTAATACCTATTCCACATTTTTCCTTTTTACAGAAATAAGTCTGGTGGCCATTGAGGCATATAGATAATGGGTCTTGTTGAACAATTTGTCTTACAAATTTGCTAATACAGTGTGTTATGAAATACATTCTTCTGCAGTTAAAAAGGACTCTGACAATAATTTTCTTTTTCCACAGTAGTTTTCTTTTAATGCCATTCAAGCTCTCTGTTTTACTTTAAATTCCCCTATGTCCACCAATGATTAGTTATATAACTTTGAGTAAGTCACTCAGCCTTTAGTTTCCCAGTTTACATTTAATTTAACTTAATCATGGTATCTTTATTTACAAAATGAGGAACATGGAGTTAATAATTTCATGGATTTTATAAGTTTCTTATAGGAAATAAACATTTTAGCCCTGACCGGTTTGGCTCAATGGATAGAGCGACGGCCTGTGGACTGAAGGAAATAAACATTTTATGTATTCGTGCCCATAAAAATTCAGAAAATTAGTACTTGATGTAGTAATAACTCCATAAATAATAACTATTTATTGCATTTATCTCTTCTAAAGACTATTAATCAGTAGAGAGGGAGTTCATTTCTTAAAAGTGGGACAAATAGTTAACTTTAAGAAGACAGTTTACAAAATTAGTGCATAAACTCTTTGATATTCACACCTTGTTTTCTTTCATTCCTACTTCTTATGTTTTCATTACAGGAGGCCCTAGACTAAACGTATGCCCTAATAACTGGGTGCAGGAGAAAGGGAAGTGCTATAATTTTTTTAAAACTTTTAATTCATGGACTGATAGCCAACAGTTCTGCTTAAGAATGAAATCACACCTCTTGATGATCCAAGACAAGGCTGAACTGGTAAGAGCTAATTTACTATGAGTGAAAAAATATACTATGGAAGAGAAAAAAAATTTAAAAAATGAAAATTGGGAGAAATAGGTACATTTTAGAATCCAGGAATTTACAGACTAATAGCTATAGCCATTTATTGAATTCCATTCATGTGGCAGGAACTGTGGTAGACACATTACAAATGTTATATAACTTAGTGCTCACAGTAACCTATGACATAGGCGATGGTATTTTCCTCATTTTCATAAGAATATGCAGAACTTGACAGTTTTTATAAACTTGTCTACTTCACTCCTTAAGTAAATCACAAAGCTAGGATATCCATGCCATCCTTCCTGGAGAGAAAGGTAGGATCTCTTTGAGGTACTCATCAAAAGCATTACAAATATTTGGCAATATCCTACTATGTTGGGTAGGAAATAGAGGGCTCTTTTGTTTCATTTATGTGAAGTTCATCATAAGCCTCAGTTTTCTACAAGTCTGAACATTGGTAGTCAGAGCAATCCATGTATAGTTCTTGCTTCTTTTAACAGACTTGTTCATTCCCCATTTTTTCTTCACATCCTCTTTGCACCCTTTCATCAGTTGCTGCTTTTATCACCATCCTCATGAATTCTTTAAGGAGAGTACGCTTTCACATAAAGTCACATATTTTGAATTTCTTTCCACATTGATTTACTTGCCTACACATGTAGAAATCATCTTTTTAACTCTCTTAAGATTTTCCTGGATAGAGAGATAAATATAAAAACCTCTTAAAGATGGAAAAAAGTAGCAGAGGCTATTTTAATAAGTATTCTCACCTAATTTCCTCTGTATCCCGTTTCACAGGCTTTCATACAAAATAGTATACAAGATGGAATCTACTTTTGGATCGGATTGAACATTACATATCCACAGAAGACATGGACCTGGTTGGATGGGACCCCATTAAATCCACAGTTGTGAGTGTCTGACGTTTGAATACCATGGAGAACTATAAAAGCTCAACAGCCAATCCCTGCTGGGGGCTTTCGTAAACTCTAGATAGACAACTTGTTCTTATAGATTGCAGACTTTGATATTTGTTAATGTGTGTGTGTAGGAAAATTTCCTTAGAGAAATGAAGGCTTCTAAACTAATTTATTTTCATGTTTGCATTTTCTTTTAGTTTACGTAAAACACTAGAGGTATAGATAGAAATTGTAGTCAATATACAATTGTCTACATTTAAATCCTTATAAAGTGTTTCTCAAAGGTTATAGAATAATCCTCATTTTAAAAAAAATATATTTTATTGATTTTTCACAGAGAGGAAGAGAGAGGGATAGAGAGTTAGAAACATCAACGAGAAAGAGTCATTGATCAGCTGCCTCTTGCACACCCCCTACTGGGGATGTGCCCGCAACCAAGGTACATACCCTTGACCGGAATAGAACCCGGGACCCTTCAGTCCCCAAGCCGACGCTCTATCCACTGAGCCAAACCAGTTTCGGCTAATCCTCAATTTATTAGAAGGATTCTAATAATTACAAATTCTAAGGAAATAAGATATTAGAACTCAATAATCAAATGGCATTTGGAAGCCAGTCTTTCCTACTCACATTTTTATTCCACATAGTATTTCCATTTACAAATGACCGTTTTGAGTTAAAAAGCTATTTGGAGCAATTTTTTTTTTTTCATTGAATAAGTCTTTGTTTACTGTGCATTTCTTGTCTGAATATTACGATGTCTTAGACCTCCAGCTTGGAGAATAGTACATTCTTTCTAAGAAGAGAGAAAACACACAAAAGACACACAATTGTACTTTCAGCAGAGTGAGGACAATGTGCCTTTTCCTTTGCAGATGTGAAGTCAAGAGCAAGGATGAAGACAATGCTTGTGCTGTGATAACCAAGAAAGGTGTGTTTTCTGAAACATGCCACACTCAAAATTACCATATTTGTCAAAATGTGATTTCTTCAGACAAGGATCTCTAAATTGATCACAGGTATGCTTCCCATTAAAAAATGTTCACAAATATTCTTTATTTATGAATTTTTGTAAAAACACTTTGTTTCTACACAAAATTTTTGGTAATATTGATGATACTGATGTCAATTTGTGTCACCATAAGTACAAACAATCAGACTCAACTGAGTACTTGGTTCTGCCTTGGTTCACTCAAACGGTATTTCCATAGTCATCTCCCATTCATGAGAGTGACTGTTTCAGACAGAAATTATTCTTTTATCCCCTCAGTGATTCTCTCCCTGCATCTCTTAGTCACCATTAACAGAGGAGTTTATGTTTTTTTAATCATTTTTTTTAAGAGAAGACATTGGATGATATATTCCTGAGCTTTCTACTATTGAATCTACATATTTGTCTGCATCTTAGTACTTTTTCCTCTTCTCCTGTCTCCAACAAAGCAGTATTCCTCTTTCTGTCTAAATAAAATCTACAAGTCTATAGGCAAAATCACATGCATTTTAATTTTTTCAAGAAATTAATCTCTTCTCTAATCTCTCGTTCTTGTTTCCTTTTCTATCAGCAACTACAAGAAAACTTTCCCTCGGCCACATGTGGTTTCTAGTTTCTGCCCACCTCTTATAAGTCAAACTTCCTAAGAATGGTGATATTTCCTTTTCCCCTCTTCCTACCTTACATTTCAAGTTCTAAAATTTGGCTTCTGCTTTTCCTACTGTTTTACCAAAGTGCTGTTACCATGCCAAACAATGAGTTTCTTCTGGTAAAATACAATGATAACTTCTTAACTTTCACTTTAACCATCAAGTTTGCTCGTTGTTGACCTGTGTTTTCGTCTAGAAATATTCACTAACCTCAGGACCTATTACACAAGACCCTCTTGGATGTCAATCTACTTCTTCGGCCATTCTTTTTCAGTTCTTTCTGTCGTGTCTCTTTCCTCTTCTGTTCCTGAGTTTGTGTGGATTCTCTAACACACACAATTTTTGTCTTAACTCATCCACTCCATAATTTTAATTGCCATCAATTTATTGATAACTCCCAAGCCCTTCATTTCTAGCCTAGATCTTATTACAGTGGATTACCTATTGGGCATCTCTATTTGAACATCTCACGGCCCCTCAGTCTCCACTAATTTAATGACAGGAACATCCCCACACCAGTCTAAGCCAGAGTCCTTGAAGTCAACCATAACTTCTTCCCCTTTTTTTTTTTTCACCCTCAATATTCAAACACTAATTTAATCTTTTCAATTTTACTACATAAATATTTCTGAAATGCACCCTCATATCTTCATACCCACCCTATTACCCTAGATCAGTGGTACGCAAACTCATTAGTCAACAGAAACAAATATCAACAGTACGATCGAAATTTCTTTTGAGAGCCAAATTTTTAAAACTTAAACTTCTAACGCCACTTCTTCAAAATGGACTCGCCCAGGCAGTGGTATTTTGTGGAAGAACCACACTCAGGGGCCAAAGAGCTGCATGTGGTTCGCAAGCCTCAGTTTGCCAACCACTGCCCTAGATTACTGCAATAATCTTTTCATTTGTTTCTAGTTTTGTCTGCCAAAGTCCTTCCTGTGCATTGTGACATAGTGACTCTCTAATCCTCATATCAGGTTACATGAGTCATTACCTAATTCCTTTCAATGGCTTTTCCCTGCTTAAACCTTTTATTGGCTCCTACCAGACCCTTCTTGTCATGGCTCCTCTTCATTCCTCCCCACTTTCATGTGTGTAATGAAGCAGACACACTAAACTGTTCAGTTCCTTTAAAATATGTCATGCTTTCTAATTTTATTGTTTGACACAGTTTAACAAACTTTATTTTTTTCCTTTATTACCTTTTAACTTTTTATTTTTCAGGGGTTGAAAAATAAAAGAAATTTAGAGGAATATACTTCCTTGACCAGTCTCCACTCCGACTATATTATATAGAGTTGATATATATTTTCCTAGCTCCTTGTACTTACGTATCTAATCTAATCATCTAGTACCTTCTTTTTTTTTTTTTTTTTTTTTTTTGGCCATTGTTTACTAAATTGTTTCTTAATTACCCGTAAGCTATGTAAGATCAATAATCCTTATCATTGTTTGGAATAATGATGTATAATGATAAATAAGCACCTTTTATGTTACTGAGTATGTATTTGTAATATGTTCTATGAGTTCCAGGCTTTTAGTAGTTATGCAGATCATTCTGTAGTGTAGGTAAGCGTAACCTACAATTGAGAAGTAAACCACTCTATTTAAAATAAATAAGTAAGTAAATAAATAAATGTCAGTGTTAGGTTTATATGCTTTAATAAATACAATTTTCCTGGTTTGCTGTTTGTTTTTAACCTAGAATCTACGTTGAGACTTGGAGCAGAAACATAGCTGCATTAATGTTTGCTAATTAAATATAAGTTTACCAATGGGAAACCTACTTTAAAGCCTTAGATCCACTAGGAGTAAAACTTAAATGATATAGCAACATTTAAAAAATATATTTTTTCAAATACATTTGTTTGAACAGAAGTAATTATAGTTTATAGGAAATGAAATAGAGAACCTTCCACTCACTTTAAAAAATTAAATACAGAACTATTTTTATTTAGTATATGTACTATTTTATTAAGGTGGACATTTATACAATGTGGAAAAATGACTGAAGAAAAGTTACAATTGAAAGAGAAGAAAAAATAATAGAAGATTAAAAGATCTGAGGACCTCGAATATTCAAAGCCACATTATCAATGTTCTTTGAAACTATTTTGACTTAAACACTTAAGCATTTAAATATTAAAACATTTCAAAAACAGTTTAAAAATTAGTTTGGCTTGATTTTTTCCTTTTTATTTTTATTTGAGGATTATTCATGAAAAGTATTCTCCTTTAAATTTTAAAAATTAAGTTTGCACATAAAGAAATGTTTATAGCCTAAACCGGTTTGGCTCAATGGATAGAGCGTCGGCTTGGGGACTGAAAGGTCCAGGGTTCGATTCCAGTCAAGGGCATGTACCTTGGTTGTGGGCATATCCCTAGTAGGGGGTTTGCAAGAGGCAGCTGGTCGATGCTTCTCTCTCATCGATGTTCCTAGCTCTCTATCTCTCCCTTCCTCTCTGTAAAATATCAATAAAATACATTTTTTAAAAAAGAAATGTTTATAAGCAAACACCTGATATTAAAATTCTAAAAACTACTGTGAATTTAATTAGCCATGAATAATAAAAATCAAAGCTTGTCCTATTATTTCCATTATATATCTATATCTATATATTTTTGATACATCAGATTGTCTGAATCATAATAATCAAAGTTATTTTTAGATGACACAGTTCTCAAAATTAATATTTTTTAATTATGTAGCAATCCTACTTGTTGAGAAGGGAGCATATTGAATAATGTAAATTGGAAGATTTTTAGTGGAAAAAGCTTCAGGAATAAATGAGACAATTATAATTTATGGCCCTTCAAAAGTTTTTATCTTTAAAGTTTAGAATTCTTTTGGAATGAATGTGTGTTTATGTGTTTATGTGCTTGTTTGCAAGTGGGAAAAATTGTGGTTTCAGTAGGTAAGGCTTCAAATGAGACCACTTCCAACTTCCCACTTAGACTCCCATTAGAGATGAGTGTCATATCTGCCTCTCTCCCCCCAAAAAGGGAAAACAGCTTAGATTTCTTTGCTCCTGAAGTCTTTTATGTCATTTTCTGCTCGCCTGCTGTCCTGGTCCCCCCCAACTGCCCTCCCCGGCAGGTCTGGGTTCCCCCAGCTGTTCTCCACTGCCAGACCAATCACTCCTAACTGCCCTCCCCTGCAGGCCTGGATCCCCACCAACTGTCCTCCTCTGCATGCCTGGTCCTCCCCCAACTGCCCTCTCCTGCTGGCCTGGTCCCCCCCCACCCCCAACTGCCCTCCTCTGCTGGCCTTGTTACCCAAAACTACCCTCCCCTGCTGATCTGGGTCCCCTCCAACTGTACTCCCCTGCAGACCTGGTTCCCCCAAAACCACCCTCCCCTCCCGTGGCTAGGCTAAGGATGTCTGCTGCAGCTTAGGAAGCAGGCCTAAGCAGTCAGTTGGACATCCCCTGAGGGCTTCTGGACGGAGAGGGTGCAGGCCAGGCTAAGGGACTTCCTCTCCTGCAGTGCACGATTGTAGTGCACCTGGCCCCTAGTATATATATAAAACTTAAAAGTATATAAATTTTTTTTTCAAGTATAAAAAGTTTTAAATCTTACAGTTGTCTTTCCAGAATTTTAGAGAGATGTACTTCTAGGCATAATTATTTATTAATATACCACAACAGAGATATGAGTATATTTGTGATTTTATTTAAAAAAAAAAAAAAGCACCACACCAAAACATCAATTGATTTTAAACTAACAACTTTATTTTAGTATTAATTAATAAACTCGAGACAGACACTTTAAAATCTATGTTGTCTATAATAATAAAAAGCATAACATGCTAATTAGGCCAGGCAGCCAAAGACCTTCTGGACAAGCTTCTGGACAAAGTGGGGCTGCAAGGGCCTCTAGTTAAATATAAAACAGCATTAGATGCAATAAAAGCAAAGAGGCATACCTAAAGATTCTTGACATTGTTGCTCTATAGTTAAATATAAAATAGCATTAGTTATAATAAAAGCAAAGAGGCATACCTAAAGATTCTTGACATTGTTGCTCTATAGTTAAATATAAAATAGCATTAGTTATAATAAAAGCAAAGAGGCATAACAAAAGATTCTTGACATTGTTGCTCTGTTATTAAAGAGAGATAATACAATGAAGATATAATTTTTAAAACTATTTTTGAAAGAGCAAAGAGGCATTAATATATTTTCCTATGTAAGCTTAGACAATAACTATTCAGTATGAGAAGTTTTGCAGATATAATATTTCGGAGTATTGCTACATCTCTATCTTCTGAAATGCCTATTCTTCTAGACAACCTTTGGACAACCTTCTGAATCATTTCCTAGTCCATCAGATAGATTTTACATTGCCATGAGAATTATTATAAATCTTATGTTTGAAGGCAATGTTATCCTGAGTATAAATGTTCAATAACTTCAGAGCAATAACCTATGAAATCAAGAATAAGCTTCCCTTAGCATGGAGTATAATTTCCCTTAAATCTAACCTTCCCTCCCTCAACCCCAAATCTTATTTTCCCTCCCATACCTCTTATTCCCATGCTTCCAGACTATTATAATTTCTCAATTATGCAACATTTGGTACCCTCACAAATGTTCTTCCAGAGAATTTTCTCCCTGGAAAAACCCTACTTTCTTTAATTGTCAGCTTAAAAATATTTTCTCTGTAAAAATTTTGCTAGTTCTCTCTAGCTCAAATTTTGGACATTTTCTCTATGTGTTGTCATTGAACCTTTCATATATCTTATATGCACTTTTTTATTTTTGCCCTTCTTACACTGTTTGGTAATTAAATGTTAAAGGTTCATCTATTCAGTCTTTAATTTTCTAAACTGATTGTAGATTTAATACTAAGTTCCTTGTCATCCTTTTTTTTTTACATTGTAGTTTTCAATAAAAATAATTTTATTTATTCCTGACACAGGAGAACAATGGAGTAATAATACTATACAGTCTGATAAAGACTTTAAGAATAAAGTCAAAATAAAGACCTTAAGAACAGTCATGAGTTTTCTAAAGACTCATGAAATGGTTGATTTTAATTAGAAAGGAAATTTCCTTGTTAAGTCTTTTACTGATTTGGCACTTATTTGATTATAGACAGTTATTTCCTGTATTTATGTGGAGAGTAAAATAATCAAATGAGCATTTATAAAGAATGAGGGAGCCCTGCCAGAGTGGCTCAGTGGTTGAGTGTCAACCTATGAACCAGGAGGTCATGGTTCAATTCCCTGTCAGGTCACATGACTGGGTTGTGGGCTCTACCCCACTAAAGGGTGTGCAGGAGTCAGCCAGTGGATCAATGAAGTTTTTCTCTCATAGATGTTTCTATCTCTTTATCCCTTTCCCTTCCTCTCTTAAAAAAAATAAATATAAGGAATGGGGGGAAAGGGGAAGAACAGGGAGGAAAAAAAAGTGAAAATGAAGGTGAGGAGAGAAGGCAAAAAGATAGAAAACTAGTTTGAAAAATATTTTCTCTGTTATAATATTTATCTAAAACAAAAGATAAGAAACTTTACTAAGTTCCCAAATTCTTACTAGTCCCATCTTCAATATGTATTCTGTTACAATTATTCAAACTTTATCAATGAAGAAACATAAAGCATCCATAGGACGCAGATCACAGATTTCACAACAACTTTCAGAAAAGGATTGTTTTACAAAGAGACATTGGTAATGTTGAGTAAACACCAAGACAATATCCCCCAAAAAGTATCAGTCTGATGCAGAATCTAATTTGTTTTCTCAAACAGAAAAAATTTAAACCCAGTCCCCCACCCATCTGCCCACCCAATGTTTATTATTCGTTTGCCCATTATGCAATAGGTTCTTGGCATTCATAAATAGAACACAGCTAGTTCAAGACTGTTTACTCATAATCTTGAAGGACTCTCACATGATGGTCTGAATGTGAAATCTTATTGCTTTATTTATTTATTTTTTTTCTGTGAGGTTGGTGTGTGAAAGAGATTTTTTAATCTAATAAATCAACAAATTTAAACTCTGTTATTGTGTTTGAATTACACTGAATTCATGAGTGAATCTCATAAAGTAATGCAAATATTGCAAAACTAAAATAAAACCAATCAATGGTTATTGATAATAAAAGTAGGGAGACTGAAAAAATGTCATAGTCTTTTTTATAAAACAAGTAATTTTAAATGACGTTAGTCTGAATTTATATGATTACATCTTTAAAAATTACTTAAATTGTTCATTCATATTTTAATGTATTATAATCAGAAATTTTATTCTATAAAATTTAAACTTTTATATATGGTGAGGTGTATACTTCTTGTATGCCAAGAATCTAGTAAATTTATAACAAATTATTTTAAAGATTTAGTGTGAAACATCAATAAAAATTTCTAAACATGAATTTCATGTACTTTCATATTAATATAACATATTTCTTATAAAAAGAATAAAAGTTATGTTTTATGTAAAAGATTTTGGGTATCTTAACTTCTTAGAATACATGTGTCCGGTTTGCTGCAAATCCATTTCCTAACCAAATGGCTACTGGAACTACTAATCCCAGTTTTGTGTAGATAGGCACATTCTCCAGATCCGATGACCTTAAACCTGAAACAAAATATCAAATAAGAAAAAGGATATAGAATGAATGAATATTTACTTGAAGGCTTAGAGAAAATAATTTCCTCTGATGTCTATTTTTACTCTATGCCCAATACCATATTATCCTACCTAATAAAAGAGTACTATGCAAATTAACCTGCTACACCCACAAGCCATGCCCACCAACCACACCCACCAGCCAATCAGAGCCAGTTTGCAAATAAACCCAACCAAGATGGCTACAGCCACAGAGAGCAAGAGGGAGGCTTGGGTTTTCCAGGCAATGGAGGAAGCCAAGCTTTCCACCTGCTCTTGCTGCCTACACCTTCCACTCAAGGCTACAAAGTTTCAATTATAGAAGGTAAACAAATCCAAACAGAAATGGCAGCTGCCTTGGAGCTGGAAAGAGCGGGAGGCTAAGGTTGCCCCTGGCAATGGAGGAAGCAAAGCTTTCTGCACACCCTGGCTGGCCTAGGCCTTCACTCCAGGCTACAAAGTTTCAATTATAGAAGATACATAAATTCTAACAGAAATGGCTGCCAGCCATGGAGCTAGCAGGGGGCTTGGCTCTGCTCCAGGCTACAAAGTTTCAATTGTAGAAGGTAAATAAATTTCAGATACCAGGGGGTGTGGCTGGCCTGCAAACCATCATATGCCCCTTGCTCAGGCTGCCCCATGCCCCAAGGCAACCCCCACCCTGATCTGGGACACCCTTCATGGCAAACCAGCTGGCCCAACCCATGCACCAGGCTTCTATCCTATCTAATAAAATAGTAATATGCAGATTGACCATCACTCCAACACACAATATGGCTGCCTCCATGTGGTCAAAGATCCTGCCCCTATGTGGACACAAGATGGCCACCACAAGATGGCCTGCAAGGGAGGACAGTTGAGAGGGACCAGGCCTGCAAGGGAGGTATAGTTGTGGGTGATTAGGCAAGCAGGGGAGGGCAGTTGAGAGGCACCAGGCCTGCAAGGGAGGGCAGTTGGAGGCAATCAACCCTGCAGGGAAGGGCAGTTCAGGGTGACCAGGCCGGTAGAGGAGGAAAGTTGGGGGTAAACAGGCTGGCAGGGGAGCAGTTAGACATCAATCAGGCTGGCATGGGAGTGTTAGGGGGTGATCAGGCTGGCAGGCAGAAGCAGTGAAGGGCAATCAGGAAGGCAGGCAGGCGAGCAGTTGGGAGCCAGCAGTCCTGGATTGTAAGAGTGATGTCTGACTGCCCGTTTAGAGGAATGTCCAACTGCCCTATGGTATTGGGCCTAAATGGGCAGTTGAACATCCCTCCATGGGTCCCAGATTGGAGAGTTTGAAGGCTGGGCTCAAGGACCGCCCTCCTCCCGCCCCTGTGCATGAATTTTGTGCACCGGGGCTCTAGTTTAAATACAATGCAAACTGAATTCATATGCCTTGCCTGGCCTAAAATATTACGTGTATGCTGAAGGGCAGTTTTTATTGTCAAATACATGTGTGGCAAGATATTCTTTTTATTCAATATTGTTGAACATCAATTTTTTAAATCTAAAGTAGAGATAAAGATACTCATTCACCAGAGTTATTGAGAGGGTCAAATGATCTGATTATGAAGCATTGTGTTTACAATATTATAGATATTAAGTAACTTGTATAATACTTTGCATTACCACATGTTCTCTGGGTTAATTTTATTCTAAACCACAAAGAAAGATTACAACCCATATTTCTCCATAGTGGGAAAAGCTCAGAATCTCAGCTTTCAGTGTGTAAATTATGTAGTCAGGACTTACCAATCACTGTAGGTGGTTCTATCTACCCACTTCCAGGTCTGTCTTGGTTTTCGGCTCAGTCCAATCCAATATTGAGAATGGTCAGAATATCGCTTCAGGAACTCCTTTGATAAAGAATATTTATACAGTAAACAGGAAATGCCTTTTTCTATTGGGTTTTCTTTCATCTAATTCATTATGCTCTTTAAATAAATATGTATTTTATTAATTTTTTACAGAGAGGAAGAGAGAGGAATAGAGAGTTAGAAACATCAGTGAGAGAGAAACATCAATCAGCTGCATCCTGCACACCCAATACTGGGGATGTAACAGCAACTAAGGTACATGACCTTGACCAGAATCGAACCTGGGACCCTTTAGCCTGCAGGCCAATGCTCTATCCACTGAGCCAAACTGCGTAAGGCTCATTATAGTCTTTATCAAAATACAAACTTCCAGATTTGGAAATAATCTTAGAGGCGACATTGTCTTTATTTAATTCATGGGTTAGTTTTGGATTGTTTTACTTCTATAACAACTTCTATAATAAAGTGTATTGGGTAGATCTCTCTCTTTTCTAAAATAATTTTATTGATATATAAGAAAAAAAATTATCTGTTTTGTGAAGGCTTGGTCAAATTTTGAAGTAAATCATCCTAGCCTTGGTGCCTGTTATGATGGGAGAATTTTGGTTAGTCATAAAATATATTAAATATTTATTGGTTTGTTCAGTTTTTATATAGGTTTACTCTGATACATTATATTTTTTGACAATATTACCATTAACCAAACTTTTTGTTTTGTTTGGGTTTGGTCAATAGTTGCTTTTCATATCTTTTCCTCTCACTTTATCTCTTTCCTGTTTGTGTGTATATGCATGCACACGTATGTTTCTCTACATGCTATGTCTGTGTAAGTAGCACCAACTGGACTCTGTTATTTTATTAAAATCTACCTGATATATTTGTCTTTTAAGAGATAAATTTAAAACTTTTACATTTTATCAAAATTGCTGTTATATTTGAATTTATCAACTTTGTTTTCTGACCATTCTTCTTCTTCTTCTTCTTTTTTTTTTTTTTTTTTTTTTTTTTTTTTACCTTTTCTGAATTCTTTTGAATTAATGCTTTTTCTTTTTTTCTTTCATTACAAAATGAGATATTTATTTCTAATTTTTATGCAATAACACTAGGAGAAAAATTCTATTTGGATTGATACTTTTTCTATGTTTTTATTTGAATACTTTAGTTTACTTGAACTTTTTTTTTTTTTTTACTTTTTCATGCTTACCATTTAATTTTTCATACATATCTATACATATACCAATTTTAAGTTGTCTAAACAATTGTTTAAATAATTATTTAGACATTATTTGTTTCTTTAAAGTTTTAACATTTATTAGCATAAAATTAGTTGTAATGTTATATGATTTTAAGTCTTGGTTGTTTGTATTAGCATGGGCATATCTTTTCTACTTTTCTGTGATCAGTCTTACCTATTTAGAGAAATAGTTCTGCCTTTGTGAATCCTCACTGATTATTTTCTTATTATTTTCTTGTGCTCTTTTTCTGTATTTCCTTTTATGCTTCTTAAACTATTTATTTCCTTTGTTCTATTTTTATACTGAACTGATACTTTCCCATATTTCCTGCTTTATTTTCATAATTTTCTATTCTAATGAATGAAATGTATAATTTCATTTATATTTTTCAGCTGCCCTCTTATATTCATTTTTAAATCTTCATCAGAGTGTTCTTCAAAATTGATTTCATCTTGGGTCAATCTCTCTTCTGTCTATTCTTCACAGAATTGGCATTCCACAAATGTTGAATATATCCCCATGCTCCTTAAGATCTTAATTTCTCTTTCCATCTGACATTCTACATCTCTATTATTTCTGTTCTGGGGGCAGTCTGTATTGCATGCTTTTAAGTTTCTTCATTCACCCATTCTGTGCCCTAATGTTCCTAGATATTCTTAATAATATTATTCATTTTATAATTCTTTCCAGTATTTTTGACAAATGGTTTGTTATGACTCTTTACTTACTATTTTTAAATATAGTTCCACCAAAGGCAGCTTTCATTTGGTATAAAACAGGCAGGTGAAGAAAAACAGGCAGGTGAACCACATAGACAGGTGGCTCTGATGTGAGCTGCTTCCTCTGGCCAGAGTGGATGTGGAACACAGGGCCTCCCCTAGGCTGGTAAGAAGGTCTGCTCTGGACCTTTCCCTCTTCCAGTGGCACTCTTCAGACCAGCTCTCATCGTGGAAAGATAACTGCAGTTCAAAAGCATTGCCTTACCAGTTCTTGTGTGGTGTTGAACACAGCAAGAGTTGCTGCATGGGAGACACAGAAGTTCTGGCTTGCCGCCCAGGTGGTTGTGTTTTCAGAAAAATAGAAGCACTTTCCTAGGTATCCAATCCAGCCATCCAGGCATGATTTGTGTTCAGTGAAAGATTTGTGTTTTTCTACTAAAAAAAAAAAAAAAAAAGATTTTAAAACATATTGAATAGTTAGGGGGTAAAAAGCCCTGAATTTAAAACAACTATCCTTGTGAATGAAATCCACTAGAATTGTTTGATTCTTCGATCTGAAACACTTCATTATTCATGCTTTACATTGTTCCCTAAGAGAGAACAACTCCCAATTTTATGTATTTATTTTCCTGCGAGGTTGAAAGAAATTCTTGATGAATGCTATTCAGGTAGTAGTTATTTTAGGCTTGGTGCTCTTCTCAAGTGATATACTGCCCCTGGGCGATCAGACTCATTCCCATACATTATATGTATCTATACATTTACACACACATACATAAATATATATGTGTATATAAGTACAGAGCATTTTACACACATATATATCTATGTACACACATATAATTATGCATGTACATATATTTATATATATCTTAATGCCTAGTTCATAGAGAGAGGTTGATTAATAATGTACATCCTATATAAACATGTTTAGACATGCATATGTGCACATGTATGTATACAATTATATAGAATATGTTTCAATGTATTACTTTATACATGTATACATTAAATGCGTATTAATAATACATGCATTCATGTATAAATTATATATACATTTATATATGTACATCCATATCATATACACTTATGCACATATTTTCAAACATCTTGAAATATTCTGAGTTATTTATAGGAGATATATATTATACATAGTTCACTATCGCAAAGGAGAGATGTAATCTGCTGCTTTTACAGTTTAAAAGTAACTTATATTTTGCGTACAAATATGCTTATTAGGAGAGCAACAATCTTTCTCTTGCCCAATTCTTAACCCATATGCTTGGTTGTGAATTATAAATTGGACTTAGAAATCTGGCCCTGTCATTTTAAACTTCATAACCAGAGAGAAAGACTACGTTTTGTATCTTGAACTCAGTTTTCCTTACAGACATAGAGCTCAACTGGAAACAACTTAGGACAAAAATTACTCCCATTTTTATATATAGTTCAGGGCAAGGTAGTCCACAACTCGATAATCTTCCACAAACTTCTTACTTTCAGTCTACAGTGAGATAAGGATCCTGTGGCACATTGTTAACGAAATCACTAAATATACTGCTTAGTCTTTTGATATTTCTTCAAAATGATACTTTCTTAATGAACAAAGCTGTGTGGTGATTTACCTTATAAAGACTAAATAATGCTGGTTTCAAAGGAAATTTCATTTTCATTAAGTTATTTTTGTTCTCACAATATTTAATATTGCTATTATTCTCATGTTATAGAAGAGAAAACATATGCTTGTTCTGTATAAACAAATATGTCTGAAATGACCGTTAATTCTGAACTTAAGCATGAAAAGTACACATATGACATAATTTTTATAGGAGAGTTAACATGGAGCATATTTGGGACATGGAAAACTCACCTGTTAAAATTGTGGTCAATGTAGCTATTAGAATAGTCAGAAAGAAGGTGATGATGGTGATGATTTTAGTGGTAGTAAGTTTCATTTTATTTCTTTTTAGATGTTCTTGTGACTTTACAGTAATGTTGGAAGAGGAATCATAACCTACAGAAAAAACACACACAGTTCTTCATTACTAATAAGTGAGTGTAGAATGTTGTAGAAATTAGATCAATATATATATAAACTAATCATATTACTATATACTATCAATTATCAATAGGAAATTAAAACATAACATACCATTTACAGTGGCATAAAATATTAAATACTCATAGATAAATATGACAAAAGATATAAACTTTGTACACTGAAGATTATAAAACATTGCTGAAAAAATTACAAGCATAAATAAATGGAGGGAGATAGTGTTCCCATAAGTTCAAAGACACAATATTGTGAAAATGTCAATTCTACTAGATTCATCACAACCCCAAACAAAATTCTAAACATTCTATTTTCTTTTGTAAAAATTTATAAAGTTTGTATAAGAATGCATAAAACTAGAATAGCTAGAACTGAAAACTAAGTTAAAGAATAAACATTATCTGATTTAAAGACTTATTATAAAGCTACAGTTATCAATACAGCATGGTATTTTGTTGTAAAAATAGACAAATAGTCTAGGATAAACCCACACCAGATTTTTGTCAGACACAAAAAAGGCTAGTCATTTTGATAAATGGTTCCTGAATAATTGGATATCCATATACAAAATGAATATATCACATTTCATATACAAAAATTAATTCCAAATGGGCCATAGGAGTGAATGTAATGCCTAAAACTATAAAATTATAAAACAAGGATTTTCTCAATCAAATCTAAAAAACATAATCTATAAAAAATAACAACTTGGACTTCCTAAAAACTAAGAATATCTACTTTTCAGAAGATAGTGTTAACAAAAATAAAAAGATGAACCAGAGATTTGGAGAAAATATTTGTGAAGTAAATGTCTGATAAAGGACTTGTGTCAAGAATATATAAAGAACTCTTAATACTTAATAAGAAACAAATGATATATTGTAAAACAAAGCTCAGCAAGAGTTCAACAAACACTTCAGGAGTTAAGACATACAGATGGCAAATTGAACATAAAATATGTTCATCATCACTAGTCATTAAAAAAGGTGAACTAAACCAAATGTTGAAATCACCACAAATCTACTAAAATGACTAAAATTAAAGTGGCTGACCACTCTGAGTATTCAGGAAAATAGAAAGAACTGGAAATCCCCTCTATTGTTGGTAGAAATGTAAAATGGTATGAACATTTTGGGAAGTAGTATAGAAGTGTCTAAAAAAAACAAAGATATATACCTACTCTATGAATCATCTATTCTACTCATGGGTGTTTCCCCCCAAAATGGAAGCCTATGTCTGTACAAGGACTGGTACACAAATTTCTATAACAGTTTATTTGTAATAACACCAAACTGGAAACAATCCAAATGTTCATTAATGGGTGAATGCATTATGGTAGAGCTATATGAGTGAATATTAGTCAGAAAAATGAAGGAAGGAATGAACGATTAAGACCTACAAAGCATAGATCAATATTAAAATAATTATGCTGGATAGTAAAAGCTGAACCAAAATGAGTACATGCTGTATGATTCCATCTATGTAAACATTTCAGAAAATGAAAATCTGTTAGAGTGACACAAAATTGATTTGTGGCTGTCAAGGAGGGCATGATGAAAGTGGCAGTAAAAAAAAAAAGAAGATTACAATGGTGTATGGGGAAACTTTTAGTGTTGATGGATATGTTCATTACCTTGGCCATATTTGTGGTTTCATGGATGTGTCATATATGTCAACCTTTATAAATTGTACACTTCAAAGATGTACTTTTCATGTAGGTCAGTTTATCTAAATGAAGCTGTTAAATAGTACAAAACCAGTTATCTTTTATTCACACAGTGTGTACTGTTCACCTGGGGTAACTGAAAGTGACTTGACCTCGATAGAAGAGACGAAAAGTATAGAGACAGTCAACTTTCAGGTGGATAAGGATTCTGAGAGGAAGGCAGGGACTGGCAAAATATAAATGTGCTTATGTCACAAACCACATCTAGAGCCTGTCACAGATGTGCTTCATACCTGGAGACTTTCCTACACTGGTCAGGTTTAGGTCCTCAACCTTTACTTTTTCTGAGTAAAAAAAAAAAAAAAAAAAATACAGACTGGTCATACGTAGTAAACACACCAGATTCAAGATCCCTGCCCACTCCTTGGGGTAAGCATTGTTAATATAAAGGAAGACAATAAAAAATAGAATACAATGACAAGACGGTCTAAAATGCAAATGCAACATTAATATAAAAACATGTCAGAGGTTCCTCAGAAATCACTTAATGGCATGTTGCCATTCAAAGTTCATTCTACCTCACTGCTGCTTAAGAAGTCCCAGGAAGTAGTTTGGACTCTGAAATGATGCTTCTGGCTGTTAGAATCCATGCGAAGAAAGTAAGGTTCGGTGGTTTACGAAGCCACCAGTTTGAGTTTTTACAAGCATCACCCTGACTTAGCAAAATGTTTAGTTAAGTTTGACTCCTAGGGATTCCCAGCCACAGATTCAGTTCTAAAAATTTGAACATGAAATGGCAAGTTAGAGTTCAGTGAAAGGAATATGAATTTGTTTTAATGATAATAGGAAAAATAATACCTAGTATTTATTATGTTTATACTCTATAGTAGGCCTATTCCTGAGCCCTTAAATTTTATGATTTAATTTAAACTCAATAACATTACCAGACAGGAGTTTAAATGTTTCATTAATGTATAGATGAGGCAATTTCCTTAAAGTCACAGAGATGTTAAGAACTTTTGTAAAGTTACACACCCAATATGTGGCAGAGCTTAGATACTAACAGGCTCTGTTCATTCAACCACTATTATACTCTACAGCTTCTCTCTATTCAGACTTTGCCATGAGTGTTCTTTTTTTTTTTTTTTTAATAAATTTCTTTTTCTTTCTTTCTTTTTTTTTTTTAAATATATTTTATTGATTTTTTAACAGAGAGAAAGGGAGAGAGATAGAGAGCTAGAAACGTTGATGAGAGAGAAACATCGACCAGCTGCCTCTTGCACACCCCCTACTGGGGATGTGCAACCAAGGCACATGGCCTTGACCAGAATCGAACCTGGGACCTTTCAGTCCGCAGACCGATGCTCTACCACTGAGCCAAACCGGCTTTGGCTGCCATGAGTGTTCTTATATGCTGAGCATCTACTTCCAGACATAGAAGTCAGACCTCAAGTTAAACAACAACAAAACATGTGCTATTTGCATTACGCTAAGACGTTTATAATCATTTCATATCATTTGACACAGGTGAGGATAAAATACAGGGATGGCAGCCTATATTTCACAGTCATCTATCTCGAGTGACAGAGAGTAATGGGTTGACATTTAAAAACAAAACAAAACTGGGCTATAAGATATAGAGTTCTCTCTAATTATGTATTTTGAAGTTTTTAAGGTATAGCTATACTTTCACATCTCCAAAATAATTATTTCAGGAGCCAAGAAGATGTGTGTGTGAGAGAGAGAGAGGAAGAGAAAAAGAAAGGAAAGATTGGGGAAACCTATGAATAGATAATTTTCATCAAGGCTTTAGCTCTAGTACAAATTATTCCAAAAGTCTAAATGCTACTTTAACACCATAAACTTTGCTACCAAGGTAGCCATGGCCACATTAAAGCTCATTACAAACCATACCCCAAACCCTGGCTCACTCACCGTCTGCGCTGCATCAGTGGAGAGCTGTTTGCTGGAAGCTGGCTGTCTCGGGCTGCTGGTCTGGCCGTGCCGGTTATTCTGAGATCCAGGCAGAAGAGGCAGCGTTTTCAGAAGTTCTTCTCAAGGAGACAGCAGATGTCTACATCAGCAGACCCAGCTGCCAAGTGGCTGAGTGGATATTCTCCTCCCCGGTGACGTAATCAGGGAGGTACACTTCCTTCACTTCCAGTAAGAGGAACCTCACTCTGTCTCCAGGAACTTCCATTAATAGAGTACTTTCCCTATTTCTCCTATTATTTTACTTTTTCCTGACTACTGGTTCTTTCCTATGCCCGCTTCACTTGAGTCCTGCCACGGCTTTCAAAAGGAAACGCTACCGAGTAGAACAACCTACCTTTGCAGGAATAAAGATATATAACAATTCAAAGCTGTTACATATAAGTTAGCAGAGCCATGATCTTAGAGGTGAAAGGCCCTGTTTCAACCACTGCATTTTATAAATGAGGAAAATAAATTGAGCATACGGGAGTTAGTAATTATTTAATGTTACTCAGTTGACAAGTACAAGATTCTGATTCTTCATTTGCTGATGTATTTTTTCTCCATCCACATCTAACTTTGTAGGTCAATTTGAGATTTGAAAGCCTGTTCTCAAGTCTTATAAACACATTCAAATCAGAAACTGGGGCCTCTTATTCAACTTGTTCCAAGTTTTTACCCGCAAATAAGATTTATCAGAATTATACATAAATACCTCTTCAATGTATATCCTTTTATCCCATTGCAATTTTACTGGATATTGTAATCCCTTATTATCTTTTAACCAGACATTTGCTGCATGCTAGCTTCTTAGCAATCACTTTACCTCCAGTCCAATCTCTACCTTCTCTTTCAATCCAACTTCAACATTACTGTCTGAATTGTTTCCTTCTGGAATACAAATCTATAAGTGTCATTGCTTAATTTTAAAAATTCTATTATCTCCAAATCAAAATGAAGTTCCTTAGAATGACCCTTGGCAATTTAAATGTCAAAATACATTAACCTGCTTATCTCTTTTCCATACTGTATTTTGCATTTACGTTTAATGTTCACATTTTTTCACTTGTCCAGGCCCTAGCACATGCTATTACCTCTACTTAAATTACTGGTGTCTGGGGGACATCAATAGCCTCACCTCGATGCCTTACCCGGGTCCTTTCACATCGCATTCTTTCTTCACCTTTTTTTGTGAAGACTAATTTTCGTACAGACCTAAAGGACCACTTTCTCCTGAAAGTGGCCTCAGTATCCATGTCACTGCTTCTAGCCCCACATATGAGCTCCCTGGCCTGAGTGAGTGGACAAACAGGGTCACACACACGTGAAGGGCTGTCCAGGTCCAGAATCAAGTCAACATATCACTTTGCTCAGTGCTCCCGGTGGCCTTCACGTGTGACGTAACTGTTGTGACTGCACCACTTGGTCCACCATTCAAACTGTGGGTTCAGGGAAGGTGGAAGTGAAAGCCAAAGCAAGGCAGATGTAGATTTGTGGGTCATTCATGAGAATGTAGCCACCATTGTTGCTGTCATGAATACTTCCACCACTCTGTGCTTCTTCACACTCGACCTCACGTTTTTGTGATATTCTTTATTCATTTTATACTTCCCTCCTTCCATGACGTTCTTCCAGAACACCCAATCTGGTCACTACATTCTGAGCCTTCTCCATACCCGTTTTTGAAAATTGGGTTTATCTCATGCTGATGTCAGGAAAGCAAATAATTGTGAAGATAAATAGTTTTGCCCTACTTTAACATTTCAGAATATTGATTAGCTTGGCAGGGTGCAGTCCTCTGATATTAGTTCTACAGAATGAGACCTCTGCAGTGTAACTTATAGTCAGCCGTTCTCTGAATGAAAGGTTGGATAGTATTAAGTTAACGTATAGATGTGAGGATTCCTCTGAGAACGTGTTTCTACCGAGTGACAGGCACCTGTGAAAGGAGAAGCAGTCTCCCTTGGTGTTTCCCCTTTTCTGCCAGTAAGAAGAGGGACTTTCCAGAGTGGCAATGCCATTTGTTAATCTTCATTATAAAAAGTGACACCAAACATTTATGTTTTCAGTACACAGAACTACCGTAAGTCTCCTCCCTTCCTCTCCCCTTAAATATCCCATCCATGCCATCCTCCTATCTCCACTCATTATGAGCCAACTCTCAGGTTTAACAGGAAAAAAAGCCCATATCCTTCTGAGATTCCCATATTCCTTCTATTATATCCTGTTCCAGAATTAGATAAAAGGACATTATTTTATATCTTGAATAAAACCGGAATTGGATATTCATCCAGTGCACACTGGTTATAATGACTATGCGGGTGCAAGGACACATGGTACACTGTGTCCTTATCTATATATATAAAAGCCTAAGCAGCTATTGCAACCAAAACAACCAAATGGACGACTGAACAGGCTCTGTGAGGTGACCAGCACCTCCAGGCCAGCAGGGGAGTTAGTGAGGGATAACCAAACAACTGAGCAGAGGGCTGCATGGGGCAACCAGGCTGGCAGGGTGGGGTTATTGAGAGATGACCAGACAGCTGAACAGCAGGCTCTGTGGGGTGGCTAGGTCATCAGGGGCGGCAGTTAGGGGTGATCAGGCAGGCAGGCAGGAGCAGTTAGGAGCCAGTGGTCCTGGATTGGAGAGGATGCAGGCTGGGCTGAGGGGAACCTTCCCCCCATTACACCTCCCCCCGCCCCCCGTGCACTAATTTCATGCACCAGTCTTCTAGTGTAGTTATAATTTATAAAACTTGGTGGGAGATTCCTCACTTTATTGTACATAAGATGGATACAGAGTTCTGTTTCTCAACTGTGTGCTATGATTTGAATGTATCTGTGCCTCCAAATTTATGTGAAAAATCCTAACACCCAATGTGATAACACTAGGAGGCGGGATTTGGGGAAGGCGACTCGGTCATGGGGGTGGAGTCACCAAAAAAGGGAATAGTGTCTAATAAGAGAGACTTCCCAGGGCTGCCTCACTCCTTCCACCATGTTAAAGACAAAAGCAGAAGTCTGTGACCTCTGCTGGCCTCCACTGGCCATGCCTGCAGCTTGATCTCAGACTTCCTCTAGAACTATGTGACATGAGTCTGTCTTTTATAAGCCACTCAGTCTGGGTATTTTTTTATAGCAGACCTAACCAACCAAGACTGTGTTCTGAGACCCTTTTGTGTTTCACAGAGCTGTTTCAAGATCACCTTGGGAGGAAAGAGGGAATGAAGGATGAGAAGGAGCTATACATGGATATCTTTCGATAAGCCCCTCTTAAATCAAAACACCTCTTCTTTTTTAATGTTATACCTATCCCACATGAGCCTGTGTCCAAACAGGACTCCATTACTTAAAATGTTTATGAGTCGCAGGGGAATTCTAGTGGCATGAGAGATGAGAAAATTAGGTTCAGAAACATTCCAGTTGATTTTACTCTATTCTAGGGGTGTCGAACTCAATCAGAGAAGGGGCCAAAATCTAAAATCCAGCCTAAATCGCGGGCCGAATGGTTTACTGAACAGTCATAAACTGTCATTGTGATGGAAACGCAGCAGAGTGCAGTGATGACAGCGCGGTGCGGGCCACATTGCAAGGCCTGGCGGGACGGATTTGGCCTGCGGGCCTTGTGTTTGACACATGTGCTCTATTCCTATATCCATCGGGATGTAATCAGGAGACTAAAACCCACAATAATTTGAACTGGGAAATTTTAACACAAACATTATTAAGGGAGGGTTGGAGTAATGGGGGCATTGGTTAAAAGGAAGTAAAGAAAACTCTGGAAAACACAGGGATATCAGACACAGGGAGTAGCCACCACCCCTCAGTCTGAGACAAAACGCTGAAGAGAGAGGCCTCCCCGCCCTAAACTGTGGACTGAAATCCTCTCTTAGGAGAGAGGACACAGCGTGGCTCAGAAGGTAATGGAGATGTTAGCTGAGGTGCCAGGTCAACAAGTGTTCCCTCTGGAGTGCTGGGGAAGGTGTCCACAGGGAGGCGCTAGACTTATGTGGGAACCACACCAGGGTCCCTGATAGTCAAGGGCGAAGGGAGCACAGAGGCCTTGTTACCAATGCATCGAGACGGCCAAAGCCACAGTGGCATAAGCCTAATCGGGATGTCCGAGGACTCTGAGCCTGGGAATCGTAATCAGGCTGAGATACCGAGCAAGTGCAAGGACACACGGTGCACTGTGCCCTTACGTAGCCAAAGTGTGATTGCTGTCATTGGAATCAGGGAGGGAAACTCCTTCCTTTCTGGGAGTTTGTCTAGTCCCCTCGACTGACAGAACTTAATGTTGTGTCAGCCGACAAAGGAGAACTAGTTAGTCCACTTGGTTGTCATAACAGAACAGGCAATGAAGGGTAGATTTGGACCCAAGAAGCAAAAAAAATGATGATTGGCCCAATTCTTTATATGAACTCCTAGAATTCTTGTGATAGAAAACATGACATAAAACTGAATCCTCTTAGCTCAGAGAATTGGCATTTGGACCGTAAATAAAGGACAGTTTTAGAGGTTTGACGGGTGTTTCCAAGCACCTTGATAATAAAAATATTCACTTCATTCATTTACTTATGAATTTATTCAGTTGAATGCCTACTCTGTTCATAACATTTTGCTTAGTGCTACAGGAGACACAAAATATACACTTCCTCAGGAGAGTAATAGCTATTGTATAAAGCAAGGCTCTCTGTTGTGGGTCGAACCCTGGGTTCAAAATAAGACCACCGAAGTGATGATACATTAAAAAAGCAGGCAAGGATTTATTGAAATATCTGGCCAGGACAGCTGCAAGAGCACCGCACGCAGGCCGTCTCTACACGACTGTGTGGCTTTAGGGGCAGATAATTATTTTTAAAGGTTCTGAGAAGGAAAACCCCCATTCTGCAACAAACTGTTGTTTGGAATTTTCTGCTGTTCTTCCTAGATAAAATGTTGCTTTCTAGTTTGCTTTAGCCCATTTGAAGAATGATGAAGATAAACTTAGCTGTCTGACCTTGTAGGCCAGAGACCAGATATGCCCACAATCTCAATAC